GGTTCGAGTCCAGCCTGAGCTGAGCAGCCGCTGAGCTGCCAACAGGTAGCAGGATGGCTCAGCTAAAAAAAAAAAAAAAAGAGTTGGCTTGGGACGCCAGCTCTGAGCAGCAGGGCCCCGGTTCGGATCCCACATGAGGGCCAGTGATGCTGCGCCCTCTACAGCTGAGATGTTGAACAACAGCTCGACTTGGAGCTGGGCTGCCGTGAGTCACCTGTGAAGGCGTAGGCTGCGCCCCCCGCTACAGTGGGCTGCCATGAGCTACCATGAGTGGCTGGCAGCCAGCGTGAGCTGCCGTGAGCTGCCATGGGCGGCCGTCCAATGGCTGGCGAGTGACTGACTCAGCCGGGAAGAGCACAATGATAATACCAACATGGGCCAGTGAAGCGACGTCCTCCACAACTAGACAGAAGAACAAAAGGACAGCAACTTGTCTGTTCCCCTTCCCCAATTCCCCAACGCTGTTCCTCTTCCCCAATTACCCAATAAAAATCTTTAAAAAAAAAAAAAGCTCAGTTCATAAATGGCGCATCAAGAGTTTGAGCCCAGATCTGTGGGCCTCCAAAGCCTGGACTCTTTTCACTGATGGGTAATGGGAGTTAGGGAGGGCATGGGGACTTGAGGAAACTGACGAGTCCACGTAAGCAGCTGGAAGGATCACGATGGATGCCTCAGAGCTGTGATGGATCTGTAATGTGTCAATATCGCTAGGCTGAAAGACATTTCTCAGAATTGCCTTCCCTGGGTGGGCCACAGGAGAGGTTCTCGTGCAAGATTTGGAGGGCAGGAGCGAAACGGCAGCCCTTTGTGTGGCTCACACACGTTGAAGCAGATTGGCATGAGGCAGGTCTGCAACTGCTGTGTAACTGCCCCACTTTCCTGGGATCAGCCTTTCACTCTTAGGTCATATGTGTGAGTAGCTCTGTGAGGAAGGGCTGCAGCTTCTCCAAGACCCCCATGTACACTTTCATGTTAGGCAGCAGCTAGAACATTGGTTTCCGTCGGTCCACATAGGCTCCAGCCTGTGCCTGTGGATTCCAGTATATTCTTTCCCTACCCCACATCCCTCTGTCCTTCTTGACGGCCTGCTCAGAGTCCAGCTTTCCTAAAATTGTCCTTAGTCTCAGTGGCTGGAGGAGGACAGACTTTTCCCAAGCTGGCGCCAACCACAGAAAGGTGTAGTGATCTGCCGACCTAAGGGCCAAACAAAACAAAAGGAAACCCAGAGTCTTACATATTAATAAAAATCAGATCCTCTGCATCATAGGGGTACTTTGGTCAAGGGGTTCCTGGAACTGGGGTGCCCTGGGACGAAACTGGTGATGGGTGGGTGTTAATCTTCACCACCACTAGAGGGGATCATGTGCTCCCAGGAGCAGGGTTTGGGCCTCAACATTCAGGTCGGAACCCTGCTCCAGAACTCAGCTGGGTATAGAGACACATGTAAGCTGGGCTCCCAGGTGGGGCTGAGCTGGACTGCCATGGTGCCCAGATGGGCACCTGCAGGTTGGGCCCAGGATGGCCACCAGGGGGCTCTCAGGCCACATCTAGGAAGGCAGTGATGTCCCTACAGTGCTAGGGTGTCTGGGAGGTAGGCAGAATTCAGGGTAGAGGAGTAGGCGTCCCCAAGGCTGCACAGGGCAACTCACAAGTGCAAGGCAGACAGCTGTACCTGCAGGAACTCTTGGTGCTGTGGCTCCATTTGCTCCACCTTGGGCAGCTGGGGGTACAAAGCTGGGTTAGTGCCACCTGGGACTCCCACTGGGGCTACACTCATGGGGAGGCCTGAAGCTATCATCATGTGGGGCGGGGAAGCTGGAGGTGGCAGGCCTCAGCCTCATGAGACTTTCTATTACTCCTTTGCTGCTGACCAACTGTGTGATCCACTGTGTGATCCTGTTTAGGCCTGTTTCCCCATCTGTACAAGGGGGCTGGATTGGGTGATCATTCAGGTGGCTTCCAGCCTACCAGTAATAATAGTGATGATGTCGCAGCAGTAATGTGGCGATGCCATTTGCCAAAAACTCATCATGTCCCAGACTCCACACAAAAATCATTTAATTGGACTGTCTCCCTTAATCTGCGCATGCCCATGGGGTAGGCTCAGTCGCCATCCCCATTTCATAGGTGAGGACATAGAGGTTGATACAGCAGGAAGAGAGCTGAGCTGGGAGGAAGACAGTACAGCTGGGAAGTCCAGCACAGAATCACATGAATCTGGGCTTGGACCCAGGTTCTGCCATTTCTAGCTGTGTGACCCTGAGCAAGTCAGTCACCTTTTCTGTGCCTCTGTTTCCTCTGATGCTCACTCCACAGGGCTGTCACAAGGACCAAAGGACGCCCAATGCCTAGTGTGCAAGGTACACAGCATAGACATCAATCCTTGTTCCAGACTAAACGCATCATTATCTATGGCTAGAATTTGAATCACACAGTCCATTTGATTCCATAGCCCTGGCTCTCCACTCTCTGAAGCAGGAAGTGAAATGCTGTTTGGATTGAAAACGGATTTTTTTGACGGGCTCAGGTCACCCCCCTAGAGGATCCAGGTCGCCACAGCCACACATTGGGCCTGCCAGGTGCCCAGAAAACTGCCCACCCAGCTCCCCAGCCAGGCTGGTATTCTTGTCTCATGTGGCCAGCAGCCTCTGCCAGCCAACCTGGCAGTCCCAGAGCCAGCCTCTGCTCCCAAGAGCTTCCCATTTGCTCCTCACTGGACTCTCTCAGCCCCCTCTGCAAGGTCCAGCTCACACCCTACTTCTCCACCAGGTCCTGGAAGAGCCCTATGACCAGATCCCTAGTAGCAGCCCCATCTTCGGGCATCTCCAGAGCTGCTGTCTTCCCTGAGTTCCCCACAGGACTGAGCTATTGTCACCAAAGGCCCTTCTGGAATCATCTGTGGCTGCCCTTTTTTCTTTCCTTCATCCACAGGAGGATGCCCCATGGCCCATGCCAGGTGCTTCCCACACACGATTTCACTGGGGTCTTTCTGCTGGTAGGTAACAGAGGCAGGAGTGAACCCAGGACTGTCTAGTCCCAAATCCTTGCTCTCAACCAATCTTCTAACTCTCCTTGCTCTCTCTTCCAGGAATACTTCCCGATTCCCTGAACTTCTCTGAGGAAAGGCCTGATTTGGCCCGTGCTGGTCTGTCCCGCTCTGACTCTCCACCACATGCACTTCAGTACTCTACTGTCTCATTCACGTGCTAGTTGTTGAATGAATGAGTCTGTTCCAGATGGTAGGAGAGTCAGAGGACCTAGGGAAAGATGGGGTGCCTCAGTGCTCTCTGTTTAAAACAAATTGGGGACTTTTCACTCATTTGATAAACATTTGTGCCAGACCTGTCAAGGGAGTATGCCCTTTCAACAGACAGCTCCCATTTGTGAGGTCAAAGCACCGGACAGGGGTGCGGCCTGGAAAGGGGGCAGGGGGGGCTCCCTCAAGAAGGCATGTCTGGGCAGGGCATACAGACAAAGGTTTAAATTAGTAGCTGTGTGACCTTGGGCAAGTCACTTCACTTCTCTGGGCCCCAGTTTACTCATCTGTAAAAATGAGAGCTACGTGGAAGGTGCTATTGTGAGGTTGCTATGAGATAATGAATGTGAAGCAGGCGGTGACTCTTATTATGTGAGCTGCTTCCCACCCGCCACCCCCCACAGACACAGAAGGCCCAGTGAAGGTCAGGGGCACAGTAGATGCTCAGGAAAGTGAGCCAACCAGCTCAGTGTGTGGAACAGACACCCTCAACCCCCCTGCCCATCACCAGTCTGGTTCTGTATTGAGCTTTCACAACTGATAGTGCCACTACCATTAGTATTAAAGCTATCATCACTAACAACATTAAAGAGTGGGTGAGTGAGCCAATCTCTGGGGAACCTCCATATTCTCACATTCTGGGTCTACCCACAACCCCGCTGATGCAGGACAGGAGCCCCTGGGCAGTTCCAGGGGCCTTGAGTGTCCATAGCATTTGGCCAACCTTCCTCTTGAACTTTTGCCTCTGCAGTAGAACCTCAGCTTGTTGGCCATGCATTCATCGACCTGGACAATGTTGGGATGGGCCAGGTGGAACAGCAAGGCCACAGCCCCCACAACCCCAAGCTCATGTGGCCAGCACCCAAGACCACCAGGAAAAGCACATGGCTTTTTGGTTAAAAGGACCTAGGTTATAAATGGAGAAACAAAATGTCTTTATCTATACAATGGAGGAATGTCTATGTTTATACAAAGGAATGAAGCACTGACACGTTACAACATGGATGAATCTTCAAAACATTATGCTCAGTGAAATAAGCCAGACAGAAAAGGCCACATAGTGTATTATACCATTTATATGAAATGTCCAGAGTAGGCAAATCCATAGAGACAGAAGGGAGATTAGTGGTTGCTCGGGGGCTGGGGAGGATAGGAGAATGGAAAGGGACTCCTAATGGGAATGGGGTATTTTGGGTGTGTGTGTGTGAAAAAAAACGTTGTGGAGTTAGGTGATGGTTGCACAACCTTGGGAATAGACTGAAAACCACTGAATTTTATACTTTAAAATGGTGTATGTTATGGTACATGAATTAAATCTCAATTTTTAAAAAGAGAAAGAGGGCCTGGGTTGCAATGCTGGCTTTAGTTGTATGACCTCGGGCAAGTTTCTCTTTTTTTAAAAAGATTTTATTGGGGAAGGGGAACAGTGTTAGGGAACTGGGAAGGGGAACAGCCAAGTTGTCCTTCAATCTTAGTTGTGGAGGGCGTAGCTAGATCAGCTCCAAGTCCCGTCGGCATCCGGCCGCCTGTCAGCAGCTGGCAGCCACTCAGCTCAAGGTGCCGTGTTCAATCTTACTTGTGGGTGGGCATAGCCCACCATCCCAAGCTGGGAATCAAACCAGCAACCTTGTTGTTAGGAGCACATGCTCTCACCGGCTGAGCCATCTTGCCACCTGTTGGCAGCTCAGCTCAGGTGCAGCTCACTGGCCCATGTGGGAATTGAACCGGCGACCCTGTTGCTCGGAGCTTGCGCTCTTAACCAACTGAGCCACTCAGCCAGCCCTCAGGCAAGTTTCTTCACCAGCAGGTGCCTCCTTTTCCATCTTCTGTAAAATGGGAACAATGTCTCCCTTTGGAAGTCGCTGGGAGAGTTTACTGTGTTAACGAATGTGGAGCACTTGGCATAGTGCCTCATCTGCAGCGGGTCCTTAGTAATGCATATGGCCATTGTGGTGATGGTAAAGCACCAGGATGATGTCCACCCTGGCTCTAGCCAAGTCACAGCTGGGGCTGTAGAAAGAGAATGCTTTCTGCGACATTCCTGTGCAGCAGGGTGTTGGAAGCCAGAAGGCTTGGCCTGCCTGTGTAATTTGGGGCAAGTCAATTGCCTTCCATGAGCCTCTGTTTGCTTATCTGCACAATGGGGATGATAACAGTACCCTCCCCACCTGCCACAATGGAAGAAGTGGACGAAAACCCAAGTGTGAAAATACCAAGTGATGCATAGATGCCGATGCTAAAAATAGCTGTGGTCATGACTGAACTCTGAGAGGGGAAAACTGGCTCCTTGTCACACGGGCTGGCCCTGTTTGTTGAGCCCACCCCCTCTCCCACATGCTTACCTGCTCCTTCAGCTGCCCAACCTCCGTCTCGCTTTGCTCCATGCACAGGCAGATTCTGCGGGCAGAGCTTCAGCCCATCGGAGCCCAGGGGGCCAGGTAGAGGGATGGCATGTGGGGCTACAGCATGGGGGACACACCACAGATGCTCTAGAGGCCTGGAGAGTGGGGCAGGCGCCACCTCCTAGGCCTCATCACGGTGACCGAGTGATCTGAACTCAGGCCAGGATGAGAATATCCATGGCACCCCTTCTTTGTCGGGTGTCTCAGGTGAGAAGATACTCATCTGCTAGAGCTTCAGTTTCCAGCTTCCCAAACCCACTGGATAATGGAACCCCTCATAACCTCCCATGGGGGATCCCCCCAGCCCTGGCCTCATGCCTGATCCTTCTTCCAGTAACCCCCAAGCTGGCTGATCCCCTTGCCCCACACCTGGCTCACCTGCCTGGGCACTCAGCAGACGCAGTTCTTGAAGAGGACATTGCTGGAATCTGTGATGGGTCCCTCAGCAGCGTCGGTGGCTGTCCCTGATGGGAGGGCCAACCTGGAACTTCCCAGAGGCTAGGAGTAAGGAGCAGGAAGGTGGCAGGTGGGTGCAGGAGAGAAGATGAGTTACGCAAGGTGGGTGGTTGTGGTGGTGAGGTTGAGTTGGTGGGGGGAGGGCAGGAGAACGAGAGAGAAGAGGAGTGGGCTGAGCTTACAACCTTGGTAGCTGAAGAAGGAAAGAGGTAGGGAAGGCAGGGTCAGAGAAGAAACTCAGACGTGAGGGCGTCAATGTCATGGTAGACACCCACTGCCCCAGCCTCAGCCATGGCCCAGAGGCCTGAGGGGCCGCCCTCAGGGCTCAGGTAGTGAACACCTGGGTGGGTGGGCCCAGCAGAGCCTCTTTCTCCCAGGAATCAGCCTGGACACACCCAAGGCTGGTTGTGATACGAGGGAAGCAGCAGAGCAAGTAGGACAAGAGGCCTTAGGAAGTGAAGCCACTGACTCCGCTGGCTCAGATGGGGCTGTTGCCCCTGCTCAGGTGCCGCCCCTCCCCCACAAGGGCATCCACCCTGACCTTCAACTCTGGGTTAGGCTCCATTATTAGATGTGCTGGTGGGACCATACTCTCAGCATACCTCAGGTTTGTGTGGCTATCTGCCTCACTTTGGGGCCAGAAACTGAGTGCAGGCTCCATGTCTGTCTCGCTCTCCATGCTCCACCGCACCTTGCAGAGGACCTGGACCCTTCTAGAGAATGAAGGCTTAGATACTGAGGGCAAGAATGTGAGGCGGTCTCATCAGGTCACTGGAAACATACCTTGGGGTCTGCCTAGTGAGACTCTCGCTGCCCCTGTCCTCAGGGGTGATGCTGGGAAAACCAAAGGCCAAGGCAGTCTGGGTCAGCCTGTGCCCAGTGGCCATGTGGGTAGCAGGAGCGGCCTCCAGGTCCCCACAGGCCTGGAGGTGGGCGCCGTACTGTGCTTGTAGTACCAGTGGTATTAATGTGTGGTGAGGAAGCTGAGACTGAAACATGGCAAGGAAGGGGTAGCTGTGGCCCAAAGCAACGACAGTGACAATGGTGCCACGCCATTTACTGTGCTCTTCCAAGTGACAGGCACTGTAGTAAATGTGCGTGATCATTCATCTCACGTTTAACCTCAACTGCTTTTCAGGGTTGATATTATCAACCCGTTTCACAGGCAAGAGGCTGAATAACCAACCCAAGTCATATAGCAAGGAAGTGACTGAGCTGGGACTCGAATTTAGGCTCTGATTCCAGAGTCCACAAGGATAACTACCAAGTCCAGGTGACCCAGTGGTTGAAGAGGTTTGTCATTCCCATTTTACAAGGAAGGGATCAAGTGTTAACAAAGGAAATCACATCCCTTGGCTTATAGAACAATCCCAGTAGGTCCCTAGGTTGTGTCCTGGCAAGTGCAATAGACTTGGCTGCAAGAGTTCTGAATGGGAATCCATCATGGTGTGACCCTGGCCTGGTTAACTTACCTCTCTGAGCCTCAGTTTCCTCATCTGTCAAACGGGGGGCTGCACCCATCTCATAAAGTTGCCAGAGGATGAAATGAGGTGATGAATGTCAATTGCTTGGCCTAATGCCTGGTACATAGTAAGTGCTCAATAAAGGTTGGCTGAAGCAGAGTGGAGTCAGAATGCACCCAGGAAGCTTCTCCAGCCCTGCACTTCCTAAATTCATCTGTAATTGTTCTGTATATTGAACACTGACTGTACCAGGTATCTGCCATTAACTCAAGTCTACACACACACACACACACACACACACACACACACACACACAGGGAGAGCGCCTGGGGTGAGGGGTGCTATTATGATCTCTATTATACAGATGAGGAAACTGAGGCTCAGAGATCCTTGGGCTCTGAGCTCTGTGTGGGCAGAGAACATGTCTATGTTCTCATAATTCTCCCACCAGTGCCCAGCATAGAGCCTGGTACATAATAGGTGCTCAGTAAACATTTTGATGACAAGGTTGGGGCACAGAATCAAACTCTCATCTGTCAGGCTCTTTTCAAAGCCTGTCTTTTAACTGCCACCCTCAGGTGTGTGTGCTTGTTCCTTCCCATGTCATGCATCCTTCTGTGTTAGCAGCTGGAAGCTTGAGGTCTAGTGCCAAGTAGGGCTAAATAAATAAAGACTGGTGGGCTGAAGGAAGAAATGACATAAGCAGCAGCTTAGGGTAGTCTGGACAGACTCCCTGCATCCTATGCCACTTGGCCCTCTGCCCCTGGCTGTTTTACCAAGTGTAAGGAGGCCATTTTGCCCTCCAGGCTAAAACATAGCCCTTTCTACTCTTAGTAGCCTTCTAGAAGGCCTTCTGGGCCAATAATCTGATTCCAGGAATAGTCCACACTCCTACACACTAGGAGCCTTTGTCTAGGCTGTACACCCAGCCTGGAAAGCTTTCCTGCTGCCCTCCATCCCACTCCCACCAGTCAAAACGAGCCTCCTCATCCAGGAAGCCTACCCTGCTTTGAGGCCAAGAACACCATGGAAGGAGCTTCTCCTGGCCCTAAGGCTGGGTCTGAGGAAGGTGGTGCCAGGAAGGGGAGCCCACGAACAGGAGGTCTGCAGCATCCCAGGCTCAGTGGGCCTTTACTGGGCCCTACTTGTAAGACCCTAAGCTGGACTATTTGCTAATAATTTCAGAAGTATAGATTAAAAAAAAATGTTCCCCCTTAACTACAAAAGTGACACGTGCGTATGGCAAAAAAGTTCAAACAGAAAAAAAACTCTTCCACCCTCACCTCTCAGGGTCATTCCTGGGTGCAGCCCTTCCCCTGGAGGGCAGAGGAGTGGCCATGTTGAGGACAGGGCTCCAGCATTAGGAACATTAGGCTCAAAACTGCATGGTGCCACTGCTGACCCCATTGGCCTTGGCCAGTGCCCTTGGCCTCACTGCGTCACTGTAAAGTGGGAGAATAACAGGAACTCCCACCTCAGGGATTGTTGGGCAGTTGAAAGTTGAAGTATGTGCCTGCAGAGTGCTTGGCAAAGACCCACACAGGAGACACACTCGATGGAGGGTGGCCATTACTGGTGATATCAGACCCTTCCAAGGCAGCTAGAGAAGTCCTGAGCAGTCTGAGCTCCATAAAGACTGCTGGATGCGCTGATAATACTCATAGCACAGTAACAAGAACCTGGGTAGGTTCTGTGCTCAGCATCCTCCCCAGGGTCTGGTGATATCCTGATCTCAACAGCACCCTCTGACCCTTGCCCTCACCTACCACCATGCTGCAGGCCTGCCCCTTGGATGGCTTTCCTGGGCCTGGAGGAGCCAGGCCCAACCAGAAGCTGGCTTATTGCCAGTGCTGCAGGCAGCATCCTCCCCAAGTGCTGCACCAGACTGTTTCTCTGTAACTTCCCCAAGCTCCTAGTGGCTGTAACTCTCCCTGCAGGGACTGCAGAGGCCTCTCCTGGTAGCTTGGGCAGGACTGACTCCCTCGCCCTCCTTCTGGCTCTGCAGGGCGCAGCTCCCCTCCAGGGCCAGGGCAGGATGCCCAGGGACAGGTGACTGCAGCATTCTCGCCCTCATCCTTCAAGGCCATCTTGAGGGGCTGGGCTCCCCACTCACCTGGGCTCCCCACTTCTCTTCTCCACCTGAAAAACAAGGGGCTGGGGTCTGAATCTTTTAACAGGTTCTGGTGACAGTTATAGTCACTATCCCTCAACAACGCTCACACACACATACACACACACTGCACACAATTTTGCACAAAACTTTACCAGCTGCTTCCCCCACTAGATCTGCCATGAATCTGCCTGGTTAAGAGTCTCTACATTTCAAGAGCTACTGTTACTTGCAAAAAACAAGTTGCAAACCTGAATATATTCTATAATCTTATTAAAACACAAATATTAACATTTAATTGTAAATGCATAGAAAAATCTGGGGACGGCTAGTTAGCTCAGATGGTTCAAGTGCAGGGTGCAGTGCTTATAACACCAAGGTTGCCGGTTCAGTTCCCACATGGGCCACTGAACTGCGCCCTCCACAACTAGAATGAAACAACTACTCGACTTGGAGTTGATGGGTCCTGGAGAAACACACTGTTCCCCAATAAAAAAAAGAAAAGAAGAAGAAAAATCTGGAGGATTCTACATAATAAATGGTTCTGGAGCTTATCGCTAGGGAGTGTCAGGGGGTGTTCAGGGGCTTCCATTGTATACCTCAGACGTTTTTATGACTGAATTTTTTTTTAAACAAGTGTGTACTACATTTAGGAATTTTTTCCCCATTTAAAATATGATCCTATAATATTATCACCAACTACTGTCTCCAGACCATTGATCAGAATGGTAATGAGGACTCAGGCTTCTGAAATGCAATTGACAATGGATTAACAATGTTAAGACCGTGACTTGACGTAACCGTATTCCTATGGGCAAGGTAAGTACCTATCTAGGCCTCAGTTTACTCTCCAAAAGGGGGTTAATGGTAATTCCTACACCTCAAATGTACTTGATAAGAAAAAAAATATATATATAATAATGTGGATTTTTTTTTTCTTTTTTAAAAAAGACTCTTGAATGAGGCATGCTCTCAGACTGCCTGAGTTCCCAGTGGAGGTGCTAAGTCTTGGAACGGCTCTCATTGGCCCTGGCCAACTTCTTCCCAGCTGATGGGTCTCGAGCTGGACCCCTAGAAGGTCCCCATAGGGCCAGGAGTCCAAAGGACAAATGTAGCTAATGGAATCTAGCCTGGACTCTTGTGTCTGGCACCAGTTCAGCAATGGGGATATAAAAAACCCAGACATCACCTCATCGCTGTTTCATCAAAAAAGGAGACTTTCTCTCTGCACATCCCTGCAGAGGACAAATTCCTGCTGGCTGTGTGGCCTGGGAGGGAGCAGGAAGAGCGGAGGGAATGTGGGGGGTTCTCCCAACCTTGTGGGTCAGGGGGAAACCCAGGTCATCATGCTAGCCCTAGGACTGACCTCTTGGTAACCATAACAACTTCACTCCCAGGGACTGTGTGGGTCCCTGACAAGCATAAGCCCCTTCACCCCTCTGCATACCCTGTGAGGAGGTATTGGCATCCCCTTCTAATAAGAGATAAAGGGGCTTGTCTGAGGTCACTGAGCTACAGCCAGGATTTGCTGCCAGTCTGACTAACTCCAGAGTCAGTGCTCTCAGCTTCCAGGGAGTCAAAAGGCCCGTGGCCTAAGCATAGCTCTCTTCAAATGCCATGAGCCACCATGGGCAGGTCTGAGACTCTTCCTGGGTACTTTAGTATCCCCCTCAAGGATTTTTCAGAGGAAAACTCCAGGCCACCCAACCTCTTCCTCCAGGATAGCTCTGCCATGAGTTTATGTGTGGGGCTTTCCTGGAAGATTTGGTCCTGATAGCCTCAGGAATAAAGTTAAAACAAAACACACAACTCCTTAGACAGGACCAGACAGTCTCCAAGGGCTGTATCAGGAAGGTTCCCTCAGGCCCACATATCCAATGTGCTCTTTCTAGGGACCAATCCTGCCTCCCCAGCTCCCCTGGCCCTGCCTGCTCAGTGTGTGTGGCTCGGGGTCCTCATGGCCTCCTACTTCCTACTCACCACTGAGCTGGGGTGACATAGTTTACCTAGAGACACAGGGATGCCCCCCTCCCCGAACCACCTTGGCCACAAAATACCCATCGCCAGTCCATCCCCCATTTCTGACACTGTCTTGCAGGGACCTGGACTTGACAGCCTCGGGCTCGGGGGTTGGACTGGGACTCAAAGGGGAAGATGCTCTTGTTTATTGTCGCCTGCTAGTGTGACACAGGGATTTATCTCCAATAGCTCAGGTCTGACTCTCCTGACTTTAAGGATGAAGAAACAGACTCAGGGAGGTGAGGACTGGCCCAGGGGCAGTGCGGGGTCCTGCCCAAGGCCATGGGGCTCCAAAGCTGGGCTTCTCCATCACCCCCATCACCCACCCTGTCCTAGCTCTCTCCTATTTGCCTGGCCTGGTTGCCAAGGTCCCTCCCTGTCCAGACACATAGGAGACTCAGTTCCAACATGAAAGTTAATATTATAGGATCATATTTTAAATGAGAACATCAGAAGTATGGATATCAGTGATGACACCTTCACGGTCATTCACAAATGGGAAAACTGAGGCCAATAGAGATTTTATAAACCACTCTAGGCTGCCCAGCCCATCTATGGCAGGGCTGGGATGGGACCTCGTCCTTCTTCTCAATGTACAACCTGCTCCGTTATTCCAGGTGCCCAGGAAAGCCCGGCAGATCTGAGACAACATGGCTGTCTGCAAATGGGAACCAGGAAAAAAGGGGCAAGAAGGAGTGATTTGCAGGCAGTTTTGCTGGAGAGAGACCTGAGGGAGCCTTGAAAAGGCACTGTGGCTCCGGAGTAGGGACTAGCACCTAACAGGGGAAGCATCTCCCCAATCCATGCCCTCTGCCCACCACAGCCCGCGGGGAAGCTGTGGAGGCTGCTGCAGCCCTGGCTGAGTCGCCAGCACAGCTCGCAGTTCTGCAGAGGGAGGGATGTAGGAGGAGATGCTGAGTCGGGTTCAGCGTGGTCTAGCTCCAGCCGCAGTGAGAGCAGTATGCCCAGAAAAACTCGCTGGGGATAGCCTGGTAACCTTATCCTGCAGCTGGACAGAAGGAGAGGGCAGGAGGGGGCTTCCCTGCCTGGTCAGGCCTACAGGCCCAGGGGTCATGCCTTTAGAGGCTGGGCCTGAAGAAATCGGTAGGAAGGGGGCCTGGGGCTGCATGGAGGAGAAGCTTCTAGGCCCTGGGGCTGAGTCTGAAAAGGCCCTGCCCTGAGGGAGTGGATTGTCTGGGGCAGGGACAGAGGAGATGTAGCCCTGACATAATTCACTGTGTGACAAGATAGCTGAGGAGGCACTTGATGATGATCATGATATTATGAGAGCAATAATGACAATAATGGTTCCCGCAACCCGATTAAGGAGGCACTATTTCCCCCTATTTTACAGATGAGGTCACTGAGGCCCAGAATGATGCCATTATGGCCTGCATGGCAGGCTTGCTCTATCCTAGTCCTGGAGACCCTTGTGTGCCCCTCCTCTCAGGTTCTGAGCTCCAGGTGGGTGGAGGCTTGTCTGTCTTGGTCCCTGCTCTATCCTCTGCCAGGTGCCTAAAACACAATCTGCACTCAGTACATAAGATGAGTGGATGCATGAAGCTAGCCTCACTGGGGGTAGAAAGGGAATACCCAATACTCCCACCCTTCTCCATGTAAGTAGAGACACATCCTTGCATCTGAATATGGCAAAACCCATGGTCTGATCTGAGCTTCACAGTGCCCCAAGCGGTGGCCAAAGGCCTGGAAAATCACCCCCATTTCACAGATGAGAAAACTGAGGCTCAGGGAGGTTATGTGCCTTGTTTGGGGCCCCCCAGCCAGCCAGTGGTGGGCCAGGCCCCTTTCTCTCCTCCTGGACCCATCTGGGAGAGGGCTGGACTTACTGCCAGGAATAAATGATGCCAGTGATAGCTAACATTTAGGAAGCACTTATGACATGCCTGGCATGTAGCATCTCATCTAATCCTGACAATCTTTTGGGTTTTTTTCTTAACAACTCAATCACTTACCATGTATGATTCAATGGTTTTTAGTATATTCAGAGTTGTGCAACCATCACCACAATCAATTTTAGAACAATTAGATCCCTTTAAAATTAAACCCTGTACTCTTTAACTATCATCCCTCAATTCGTTCATTTCTCCATCTCTAGATAACTGCTCATTGAAATTCTTCTCTATAGATTCACCTATTCTGCATATTTTGTATAATATTCAACAACATTTTTTTTAAGATTTTATTGGGAAATTGGGGAAGGGGAACAGTGTTGGGGAACTGGAGAAGGGGAACAGCTAAGTTGTTGTCCTTCAATCTTAGTTGTGGAGGGCGCAGCTAGCTCAGTTCCAAGTCCAGTCGCCATCCGGCCGCCTGTCAGCAGCTGGCGGCCACTCAGCTCAAGGTGCCGTGTTCAATCTTAGTTGTGGGTGGGCATAGCCCACCATCCCATGTGGGATTCAAACAGGCAACCTTGTTGTTAGGACTATGTGCTCTCACCAGCTGAGCCATCCTGCTACCTGTTGGCAGCTCAGCAGTAGCTCAGCTTAGGCGCAGCTCACTGGCCCATGTGGGAATCATCCTGTTGCTCAGAGCTCACGCTCTTAACCAACTGAGCCACTCGGCTGGCCCTCCAACAACTTTTTGAATGGGGTGTTATTATTACCCCCATTTCCCAGATGGCAGTAACTGAGGCTTAAACAGGTGCAAACCTTACCAAGAGCCCTCAATGAAGCAATGATGGGTGGTATTAAAACCCAGGCCCGCCTGACCCCAGAGGCTCTGTTCTTTGTCACTAACTCCAGATAGTGAGCCTTGGAGCTCAGTAACTACCGCACTCCTCCCCTCCCTTCTACCTGAACCCAGGGCCCCACCCCAAGCTCCTCTGTCACACTCAGGGGTTCTGCTAGGGAAACCCCAGGCCCAGGGACCCTACCCAGTTCTCTCCTGACGCTTGCTTGCAATCCTTCAGGCCTCAGCTATGCCACCTCCTTTGGGAAGCTCTCCCTGATTGCTCATCTTTCTTGGCATTTCCACTGCCCATGTGCATTTGTCCACAGAAGACCAGGCAGCCTTGCTCCCTCCAGGGAGGTATCTGGGGTCACCCAGTGAAACAAGGCAGAGTGGGGACCAAGGCCAGATCCCCAGCTCCCACAACAGTGTTCTTCCTCTCAGCCTATTCCAAACAGGAAGCCCTCATCTCCTCTAACCTCACCCCATCTTGAAAGTGGTGCCATCAGGCCATGAGGAAGAGGGGGAAACTGAGGCTCAGAGAGGCTAGTGATTTGCCGAAAGCCACAGGCACTGAAGCAAGACTCACCTGCTGACTCCCCAACTTGCCCCCCTCCACCACATGCTGGGTCAGAAGCCCCATCTGTGGCTCCCATAGCCCCTGGGCTTGCCCCTCTATCAGTTCTTAAAAAATTGGCTCCTTATTTGTTGGTGATGAGGGGAACTGGGGTCCCTGTCTTCTTTGTGGCTGTACTTCCACTGCAGGCCCAGGCCTGGAACAGGTCTCAGGAAATGTTTGTTGAATGGATGATGAAAGAAGGGAAGGAAGAGAGGAATGAGGTCTGGGGTGGGTGGGAGGTTCAACCACCTACCCAAAATCACACCATGCCACTCACTAGCATCACAGGGTCTTACACTAGTTCTTATGACTCCTAAATCTAGAACTCTTTTGATGTTTTGGGGTCCTATGCCTCTTGGATATTCACCCACACAACACTGCACACAGTTTTGAGGCTCCTGGCCCGCTGCAGCTCCTCCACAGGCCCCAAGGAGAAGGTACCGTGCCACATAGCTATATCCTGAGGACACAACAGAAGTGAATCAACTTCATAAAAGCCTGCACGCGCAGCACGCACATCAGCTGTCTCATCTCAAACCACGAGTCTGCAACCTCTGGCACACAATGCTGCAGTCATGACACCATTCCTCTACCTCCTCCATCCTTACATGGCTGCTGTCCCTCCCCAGGGGCTGCCACCAGCCAGGGACGTGCTGGAATGCCCATTAATGCCACTTTGGCCATTGTTGGGCCTGGGAGCCTGCACCAGCAGCCTCAGGAATGGGGGCTGCCTGCTTCCTACATCTGGGTCCCCTGCTGACTCAGCAGGACCCTGCCTTTCCTCCTCACCCCTAACAGCATCTTGAATCCAGGGGGCAGACGGTGGGCAGGGTCCAACACTCAGAAACTCTCCCAGTGCCCAGAATGGTGCTACAGACACAAATGATAACAGTTGGTTTTATTTAGGGTTTTCTAGACCATAAATGGTGTTACATATGTTTTTTCATCAAATCTCAAATGAAGCTGGTACTATAAGCACCGCATTTTACAGACGTAGAAACTGAGGCACAGAAAGGAAAGGTTGCTTGCCTGAGGTGCCCTGCTGGGAAGTGGCAGAGCTGACAGTCAGCCTTGGATTGGTCTGACTTCAGAGGTAAGCCCTGAACCATTAGGGAGTAGCCTCTCCCAGCAGTTACTGCTGACTGTTTGGAGATGGCTGCTTCCCTTCACCTGTGCAGGACATCTGTCCTTGGAAGCCTCACACCAGGGATGTTCTGAGGGGACTGGTAGAAACACACTAATGACAAATTCTGAGGGGATGTACAGTTTGCTGAACCTCACCTTGTCTCTTCATCTGTAATCATAAAATAGTAAAGCTGGAAGGTGCCCTTGCTATTGGGATTATCTAGTTTCCACATCTTAGCAGGGCGGGACTGAGGCGCAGAGATGCAGGGAACTAGGCCAAGGCATGCCCAAGTCATAGGTAATTATGAACAAACCTAGGACTCTGGAATCATGTAAACGCTCCCCAAAATCAAAGAACAGGAGCTCAGGAAACAATGTTCAGAGCCTTCCAATCTAAGCATCTCATTTTACAGAAGGGGAAACTGAGACTCAGGGAAGAATTGGGTCTTCCTAAGAGTGATATACAGGCAGGCAGAGTGCACCATTAATGGACCACAAAGTTCCAGTTTTTTACTGGCTGGAGTGAACAACTTGTGATTCTGGGCCTCCAATGCCTCATCAGTAAACTGGGGATGGTAAGAACAGTGTCCACCAGACAGGGCTGTACTGAGGTGGAAATAACACATGTGATGGGCTTCACACAAGGCCAGGCACACAGTAAGTGCTCAATAAATTTGAGCTACTATGTCACTTGTTACTTCCATGGCCATGTCTCTTGTCTGTCATCACCCCACGTTGTAGGGCTCCTGGTCCACCAGGAAAGGATTGGTCCCTACCCTCCAGGACTCTCCAGTGTCAGGAGTGCTACTGCAGCAAGGGAAGGGGCATCCCCACGGACTAGCCTGTCCCAGCTCTGATTTCTCAGTGCCTGCCTAGGGATGGAATTTCTGAAAATGCTGGAGGAAATCCTAATGTTTGCAGTCGTGGAAGTGTCCTGGGAGAGTCCCCATTTTACAGGTGCAGAAACTGAGGTCTGGGGAGTGGGAGGTTACACTCAGAAGCACAGACGCAGGGAAACTGGCCCAGGGCTTGATGCACCGGTGTCCTCGCTTGTGCACGATCGCCCTGTGAGGATCACCTTCCCCTCTGAACGTTGCCGCCGTCGGGGTATAACTCACGACGAAGAGTTAGCAGTTAAAACGCCGCCACCTTTCCGCGGTTCCCAATGATGCCTCTGACCCGACGCCACGATTACCAACACCGCAGGGAAGTTGGGTCCCGGTTGCGAGCGCGCCCGGCTTCTCCCAGCCCGGACCTTCGGAAGAGCGTTAGGAGCGTTCTGGGCGTTTCCGGCGCCGAGGGGCGGGGCTGACCGAGACGCTGGCGTGCCCGCCGCCGCCTGCAGAGGGCGCGAATCTGTCAAGTCGGAGAACCCGCCTACTATTCAGAAGCGGAGAAACGAGTTCTGTAGTCCTGGCCTGTTTCCTTCTCTGGAAAATGGGTTTGATGACAAGTCTTGTGAGGCTGCAAGGGGACCCAAATAAGTTTGTGAAAGGCACTAGAAGACACATTGATAGATAAGAAGGTTTCTTAACTTGCCTCAGTTTGTTCATCTGTAAATAGGGATAATTGTACCTTCCTTCTCTATATATATTGTGAGAATTGCAAACAATGGGGAAAATACATATAAAGAGCCTGGCACCTTGTAAGCACCCAGGAAACGGCAATGATTGTGATAAGGGGCAAAGTGCCCTGCCAAGCCAGGATATAATGTCTAAGTCTTAGTTCCTGCCCTCAAAGAGCTCCAGCCACAGAATCAGAAACAAGACAGCTGCAAGCTGTAATGAAAGCACTGGCTAGGAGTCAGACTTGTCACTGACCACTTGGGCCTCAACATCCTCATCTGTACTGATGGCCTCTAAGGCCCTTTAGCCTGGCTTCCTTCAGGACTGCTTGTAAAGTGCAGTCCAAAGATGATTTATAATTAGAAGTATAAGGTGGACTAGAGTCTATAGGAAGTCACCACCGATAGGCATTTATTCATTTAACAAACTTCACTGAGCTAACACTCTGGTACCAGGCCCTAGAGATTCAACATTGAATAAGAGACAGCTCTTGACATTATGGATCTCAGAGTCCTATTAGGAGACAAACAGCCCTTTAGAACACAGTGTTAGGGCCAGAAAGAGGGAAAGGCAGGGGGCTCTGGAGGCCAATGGAAGCTACTACCAAAACCTTGGGGGTAGGGCTGGCCGAGTAGCTCAGTTGGTTAAGAGTTTGCTTAAGAGCACAAGCTCTGAGCAACAGGGTCACAGGTTCGATTCCCACATGGGCTAGTGAGCTTCGCCGGAGCTGCGCCCAAGCTGTGCCCAAGCTGCGCTGCTGCTGAGCTGCCAACAGGTGGCAGAATGGCTCAGCTGGTGAGAGCACGTGCTCCTAATGACAAGATGGCTTTTCGATGGTGGACTACCCCCACCCACGGCTGGGACTGAACTCAGTACCTTGAGCTGAGCTGCCTCCTGGATGGCTCAGTAGATAGTGTGCTCTTAACAGCAAGGTTGCCAGTTCGACTCCCACATGAAAAAAACCAAAACAACAAAAAACAACCCTGGGGGTTAGGGAAAGCTCCCTGAAGGAGAAGGTAACATGGGATAGCTGCAAGATTAGGAGTTATGGAAGGGTGAGTGTGTGTGTGTGTGTGTGTGTGTGTGTGTGTGTGTGAATATTGGGGTGAGGGAAAGGATTGCAGACAAGAAGCTCAGGGTGCGAGAGAATATGGCAGAATCCAGAATTTTACGGAGGTGCCCCTGGAAGGTAGAAGAGATTTGGGTAGAGAGATATATGGGTAGGGGAGGGAATACCAGCTCTTTCTGTCCATTCTATCCAGCTCTGCCTCCTCCTAAGCCACCACCAGAAAACATTCATGTGTCCTTCTGTCTGTGCCTCAAGTGTTTATGTCTCCACCATTTGTTCGCCCACTGCACACACATCCTGAGCCCCAGGTGCAAGGACCACTTCCTGCACCTACAGGCTATTAGTCTAGGAAGGGTCAGAAGGCACAGGCACCAGAGACTCCAGCATATGCTGTCACCTGGGTGCCAGGACATGCACTTACATAATGAGTGGGGTACAAGAAACCAGAAAGGAGAGGACATGGAGGATGAGGAAGGCTTGGACTGGAGAGATGAGGGAGGAAGACATTCCAGGAAGTGCTCCAGGCATGAGCAAAGATAGGGAGATAGGACAACATGGTGTCCTAGAGCCAGACTGTGAAGTTTTGTGCTTGGCCAGTAATTTAATGTCTCCAGGCCTCAATTTGCTCACCAAAGCCTCTTCAGTGGTTGTGACACCTAATTGAGATAATCTATATAAAAGACTTAACACTTAATGATAGCTCAATTAGTGAATTTGGAAGGTTAGATCAAAAAGGCAGTTCTACTGTAGGGACACTAGCTCAGAATGCACATCCCCAGGGTCCCCCAGTAGAGATTCTGACTCAGAGGATCTGGGTAGACCCAGGAATTTGCATTGGTAACCAATACTGAGGCAGAATTCTTTTTAAATGTTAATAGAAAGCACATTATCTCCACTAACTTCCCCTAAAAGGCAGTAAAGACCTCAAGGTCAACTCTGTCTCCTCCTTCCTCCACTAACCTCCCCGGCAGTTCAGGTGCCCAGAAGAGCTTTCACTGGTGTGTATATCTGAGACCCCAGTCCAGGTCCACTCTGGGCTCCTGCAGTCTTCCGTCCATGGCCAGCGCCTGGATCAAGGCTGAGGAATAGGTTTCAGAATCTTTCCTGGCATGTCCTCCCCTCCTCCTGCCAGTGTTTGCTGCTTTTGGGTGGTGCCAGGCTGTCACAAGACCCTGTGTATCCTCATGTAATCTGACTGCAAAGGATACAGGCTAGGGTACAGCTGCTCCTGAGCAAGACAAGCTTCATGTCCAGCAAGCCCGGGGGTGTGTTCACTTGTAGGGACCTCTTTGAAAGGATAGTAATGCCTCATTTACCTGCCAACATTGACCATCAGGAATGAACTTTTATGTAACTGATAGTTCTCTCCTTAAGCCCCAACACCCTCATTTAAACACTGTGGCATAGAATCTTTCTAAAATGTACTATGGGGCCAGCCGAGTGGCTCAGTTGGTTAAGAGCTTGTTCAAGAGTGTGAGCTCTGAGCAACAGGGTCACCAGTTCGATTCCCGGCCTGAGCTGAGCTGCCAACAGGTAGCAGGATGGCTCAGCTAAAAAAATAAAAAATAAAAAAATAAAATGTACTATGAATTACCTTCTCCTCCAGAATAGAGATGAAGCATCACTGAAACCTTTTTTTCTGAGAGCCTGTGTGGATACTGGGAAGTGCAGGAGGCCTTGCTGGGAGCCACAGTTCCTCTACCACCTTGTTCTGTGACCTTGGCAGGTCACTTTCTTTCTCTGACCTCAATGTCCTACTTTTTATTGGAGGATGACCCTGCAGACCTAGCAGAGTTGTTATAGACACCATGTATGTAAGCAGCCAGCACACAGCAGGCAGGTGCTCACCACACAGAGCAAAACTGTTGCCAAAATAGTCTTCTTGATGACTCAAGATCTACACTGTGAACATCAATCATGCCTCCATGACTGCTTTCTACTTATTTGTCTCCATAAGCCAGATCATCAAGAAAGCTGAGTTGGCCATCATTTCAACTTCCTGACTGTACTCTCTGGGAAGCCACCTCCCTCCAAGACTAGGCCAGTTTTCAACCCCTTTTGCTTCCACAAAGGGGCCAGAAGGAATCCCCAGAGCAAAACTCCCACTATCTATAATGCAACCAGAAAAGAGCAGGGTCTAAAGTAGTTGTCCCGTGGGAACCCAGTAGGGCCTTCCTATGAACATGAGAGGTGGTAGCACGATCTTGTAGTTGAGTATACCTGCTGCAGAGTCCATCAGACCTGTTTGAATCCCAGCTCCACCACTTAACAGCCATGTAGCCTGGGACAAGTTATCCGGCCTTTCTGGACCTCCATTTCCCAAACCATAAAGTGGGCATAATAACAGTATCTACTTCATTGAGTTGCAGGGGTGAGAGAGGCCAGGAGTAAAAGCAGAGGTACCTTCTCCCCTCCTTAGATGAGAGCCTTCATTCCTATGGTTGCCTAGCCTCTTGCTCTAGGTAACAAGAGCACATCAGCCCTGGAGCACGTGTAATTTGGCAAGCCTCACCCAGTTGCTAGAACCGGTCCAGTAGGAAAGACCAATGAACCGCCTCACTCCCAGTCTCAGGAACCACAGCCCGAGAATCATTCATCCATAATTGCCTGCAAAGAAAACGGAAATCGGGGAGACAGGGTGGATCTGTAAATCCACCCACCAGCTCCTGACCTTTGTGGCAGAATTCAGCCACCCATCAGGTGCTGTCCCAGGGCTGCAGACTGTGGGCAGGCAGGCAGGCCTGCTTCAGGCTTTCATCAGCTGCAGGGCTGGTCTGCTGGTGGTTAAGACTGTGGGTGGACACTAGGAAGGGGAGGCTTATGCAAAACTCCAAATAGTTCAGTTTTTAATGTTTGCTTCATAAATGGAGTAGGGGGAGGGAAGCTGCCTCCCGTTTATTATAAATCAGATTCAAGTCCTGCAAAAGTAGGACACCTCTAAGGAGGGGGAGGAGAATGAAGGAGGGTGGGAAGGGATAAGGAGGACAGAGAGAGGTATTGGGGGGACAAAAGAAGGAGGGATGTGATGGGGGAGAAGGAACAGAGAGGGGAAAGAAATAGAGAAAGGAGAGGGCAAGGGAGGGAGATACAGAGATTATGGGGCACAATGAACATTAAAGGGGAAGAGAAACAACGAGAAAGAGAAATGCTCGGGACCTTATATATACATAAAAATAACTGCTGAACTCAAAAAGGAAATACTAGGAGTGGGGTGAGTTTGCAGGCAATGGAGTGGGTAGGACTTGAGCCTCAGCAAAGGTGACTTCACAGCTCCAGCTGGGCAGCTGCAAGCCTGAGGGCGGGAGCCTCATCTTCAAGGCCACCTCTCACAGTCATCCTATCCTGCAAGGGCTCAGCAGGCCAGGAACTGTCCAGTTTCCTAGTGCTGAAATATCCAGGTAATCCTCTGCCTCTCCAAAGGGGTGCACAGTCCTTTGACAACTACTTGTTAAGCACCTGCTATATGCCAGCCATTGTTCCGAGCACTGGGGAAATCAGCAGTGAATAAAACAGACAAAAATCCCAGCTCTTATGAGGTTTACATTCTAAGGGAGGAGACAAGATATAATTTCCCATGTTAGAAAAGGTCAAGTTCTATGGAGAAAAACAAAGAAGAATGAGTTTAGCAAATGTACCCAAAACAGTGGTCACATGCTGTTCCCCAGAGAGGTGACACAATGGTGTAGAATTCCCAGTCTGGGAAGTGAGCACCCATGTAAAGGATGTGCTGACCTTTGGTCACAGGTCACAGGGACTCTCAGCTGAGCAACCTGTCAGAAGCCAGACCTCAACCTCAGCCAGCTGCCTGTTCCCTCTCTGGGGGTCTCTCATTCCTCCATTCTAAGGGGATCTGGACTTCTATTGCCAGAAAAATGGGCTTCTACCCTGTGTGTCCAGCACCAGCTTAGGCCTGGATTATGTGAAACACTGGGTTCACCGCTGCTCTGCCACCAGGTCAATGGAGGCAATTCACAGCCTCACTCTGGCCTCAGTTTACGCATTCATAAAATAGGGACACTGATCCTTGCTTAGTGAAACAGGTTTGAGGAGGTACAAAGGAGAAAGTGGTGGCTGAATTCTCTCTGCTGTACACCTGGGAGGGATTCTCCCTCACTCGGGTCTCATTCTTCAGAGTTCCCAGTGCTTACCACAGGGTCTAATCCTGTAGATGCTGAATGAATGCTTGGCTGGTTTTCACAGGAGCTGTACTGCTTCATCCTTCACACTGCAGTCCTATTCCTGAAGAGCACTCGCTTTGGGGTCCATGAGAACCCAGATGGCAGCCCAGGGGGACAGCAGGATGAGGCTCAGTTCTTGAGTGGTCCTTCAGTGTGGGCCACCATGGGAGACAATTGGGGGCAAGAAGTGCCTATGGTCAATCAAGTTTGGGGAACCTGGCACACTGAACTCACCTTTGGGAGATTCCCCATGCTCATTACTAAGTCCAAGCTCCAAGAGCTGCTCCAAGAGCCCTGTTTAGCCATGAAACTCCCTCTTTTCCTCTCCTTTTTGGATGAACACATCATCATCCTAAAGAAGGTGTCTTGGGAAGTGCTGGACTAGGACTTGGGAAGAACTTGAGAATCCTTGTCCCAGGGAGACAATTTTAGAGGTTTGCGGAGTTCTGTAACCTAGTGTTTACTGTGTGCTTCTTACATAGCAGGTGATATAAATGTGATAGATGAATGAATATGTTGTTCTACTCACTTCCAAATGGTAAGAATTGAGGGGAGGAAGGTAAAAGTGATTCAAGACCCAAGGACTTACATAAGAATCATTTTTAGTCCCTTTTAGACCACAAGTTTGACAGGAGAACTGATGGAATTTATTCATCCATGTATTCATTCATTTATTCACCCAATGACAACACAGAGTGGTAAGTGCGATGTAGTAAATTAGCACTGGAGACCATGGAGGGGATAACTAAATATGGAGCGTAAAGGAGGCCAGGGATGGCTTCCTGGAGGTGAGCCTGAAGGGCCCTTTGAGGGACTGACCCCGGGGCTTCCACCTTCATGTCATTTTCCCAGCCATTGGAATCATGCTTAGGACTTCTTGCTTGGAATTCACAGGAAGCTGTGATCCCATGGTTGTGGGCCCCTGGGCTTGACAAAATCCACCTTGGTCCTCTCCTCTCTTTTACCTGTCCCCTCCCAACATTCCCCTTGCTGTCAGCTGCCTCTCAGCCTTCTCATGCCCAGAGGATATCTCTGCTTCATGCAGATGACTGAAAAGACCCAAAGGAACAAGGCTCTAATGGCAAAATTCCAAACAAAATGACAAGTAAATGGGGAAACGTGAAAGCAAGGGGGCCCTGCGCAAGTCTCCCTCCCCGCAAAGTGCCACTGTCAGAAACCCCAGACCAGACACTCACCTCCATCCTCCCAGCACCAACTGCAAAACAGCCTCTCTGCATGCCGGGATCATTAAATGGGAGGAAAAATGCTTCATCATGTTCTGCTTCTCCATGCAAAGCCAGAAACTCCCTCCCCCCTCCTCCTTCCCCTGCGCACTCTCCTTCCAGTAAAACGTGGTTAAAGGGACAGCACCATCACTTCCCCATTGCTGAGGGTCTGCTTAGAACCAGGGGGCTGGGAATGAGGTGGAGGGCAAACAGAAAAGAGCTGGCACGGGTCTTTCCTGGGAGAAAGTTTGTCCCCATCTTGGGGATCCCACAGGAGGAAAACCAGTGTAAACTGGAAACGTAGTAGGGTTGAGATAACTGCCTGAGGGAGGCTCAGATCTGGGAGGCGAGTCTTCGCTGATTCTCCTTCCCAGCATCCAGCATTCCAGGGGTCCTTTCAGCTCCCAGCAGATGAGCGGGACTGCCCAGGTTTGTGTGTGGGAGAATGCAGAAAACAGGGAACTGGACCCCTAGCAGAAAGTTGAGGGGCTGGGTCCTTGACTCCCCGGAAGACCCTGCCAGACCATTTACCCACTTCCTCCTCCGTTCCCCATCTGTTTAGTACAATGGCCAAGCAAGGGGGAGGTGCACACCCCCCTCCCTTCCTCCTCATGGTAAAGGCAGAGGTTAACTCCTTTCTCCCTGAAAAAAAGCAGGTCGTGTCCCCGGTGCTGAAGCGCCATCCGCAGTACCGCTCCCACTCCCAAGACATTTGAAATGAGCCAAAACCAAGAAAAAGTCAAATAACAACAGCAGTTGCAGAGCTCCCCAAATCTCAGGACCCCTTTTAATACATGATACCACAATAGGGCTTATGGGGCGGGAAGGGATGCCTATCATGGGACTCACTTATCCATTGTGGGGGTGTGGGGAGAGATGCCAAATTGAAGTTGAGGCGATGGGGAGGAGAAAGGGATTTCCTAGTTGTAGGAAAGCAGCTGCCATATCCGCAGGCAGCACGTGGGTTCCCCTACCCCAATTCGGCAGAGGACTCCCCACGCACCCACCCACAAAGCCAAAACTGCTTGGGAAGCTAGGTAGGGGTCTCAAGTTGCAGCCTGTCCTAGGGCTTTGTACAGATGGGAAAACTGAGGGGGGTGCATAACTTGTTCAAGGTCACTGGCCAGCAAACTGTGGAGCTGACCTCAGTCTGCAGACCCTGGCCTGAATGACTACTAGCACACCTGTCACTTCCCCCCAAACACCCACACAGGTGCCAGCTTTCCCGACTTCATGTCCAGTGCCTCACAGCTTCCCCACTCTGGATTTTCTGACCCTGTCTATGCAGAGGACCCTCTGCCCCCTTCACTGAGGGTCCCTCTTGCTGGGGCTGGCCGCAGGGTCTCCCACTTCCTATTCTGCGGAGACCACTGTGTCCCCCCATCTGTGCTTTCCTCTCTTCATCCTCTGCAGTGTCTCCCATACCCCCAATTCAGGGTAGCCTTGCCACTTTCCCCAACTGCAGGTCCCCTTACCCTATTCCGGAGCTGCCTGCAGAGTTTCTTAAGCCCTCTCCTGGTGGTCACTCTAGCTAGCAGGGAAACACTGTACCTCCATGCAGAAGTCCTCTAACTCTAACCTCTGTAGCGTCCACCATGCCTCCATTCAGGATTACCTCCCCTATTCCCTGGCGGCTACAAACACTCTGCGCCCCCTATCCTGAGCGCCTCTCTAATTAGTAGGAAAATCTTGTGACCCCCACAAGATTACTAACTACATCCTACTAACTACAGTCTTCCATCGCTCCATCCCGAAGGCACTTTGCCCTTATTCCCATCAGCTCTTGTCTTCTCCCAATTTCAGGTCCCTTCTCTTATTCCAAACACAGTAGCAGGGTTTTCCAATCCGCACCCGGGGGTCCCCGCCAGTCCACTCTGGGAGTCCCCTACCTCCATCCCTGACCTGCGGGGGTGGGGGCTTCTGATGCCGCGCGGATTCCCCTTCACTCCTTGGCCCCTCCTGCCCCGCCCTTCTCACTGCGGCGGAGCAGACCGGCCCCGGGGCGCGGGGGAGGAGGCAGAGAGGGCGGGGCCCCCCTCCGCCGCTCCCCCAACTGCCGAGGGGCTGGACCCGGCCCGGCTGCTATAAAAGGGCCGGTGTCCGAATGCTGCCGCAGTGCCGCCCGCCCCGTCCCGGCTCGGATCTGGTCTCCTGCTCTAGCGTCGGCCGCACCTGCTCCAGCCATGATGAGCTTCAGCGGCGCAGATGCGCTGCTGGGCGCCCCGTTCGCATCGCTGCACGGAGGCGGCAGCCTGCACTACACGCTGGCCCGCAAGGGCGGAGCGCGCTCGGCAGCCGGCTCGTCGAGCGGCTTCCACTCGTGGGCACGGACGTCCGTGAGCTCCGTGTCGGCTTCGCCGAGCCGCTTCCGCGGCGCAGTAGTCGCTTCGAGTACCGACTCGCTAGACACGCTGAGCAACGGACCGGAGGGCTGCGTGGTGGCGGCGGTGGCGGCGCGCAGCGAGAAGGAGCAGTTGCAGGTGCTGAACGACCGCTTCGCGGGCTACATCGACAAGGTGCGGCAGCTCGAGGCGCACAACCGCAACCTGGAGAGCGAGGCGGCGGCGCTGAGGCAGCAGCAAGCGGGCCGCGCCGCCATGGGAGAGTTGTACGAGCGCGAGGTGCGCGAGATGCGCGGCGTCGTGCTGCGCCTGGGGGCGGCGCGAGGCCAGCTGCGTCTGGAGCAAGAGCACCTGCTGGAGGACATCGCGCACGTGCGCCAGCGCCTGGATGACGAGGCCCGACAGCGCGAGGAGGCTGAGGCGGCGGCGCGTGCACTCGCGCGCTTTGCGCAGGACGCCGAGGCAGCGCGCGTCGAGCTGCAGAAGAAGGCGCAAGCTCTTCAGGACGAGTGCGGCTACCTGCGGCGCCACCACCAGGAAGAGGTGGGCGAGCTGCTTAGCCAGATCCAGGGCTGCGGCGCCGCGCAGGCGCAGGCACAGGCCGACGCGCGCGACGCTCTCAAATGCGATGTGACGTCGGCGCTGCGCGAAATCCGCGCGCAGCTCGAAGGCCACGCGGTGCAGAGCACGCTGCAGTCGGAGGAGTGGTTCCGAGGTTCGCAAGCGCGCGGAGGTGGGGAGGAAGGGGGTGCCCCCTGCTGGTCCAGCAGCGAGGAGCGGGGTGGCGTGACGCTAGGGGACGCTGGTGTACTCTGCGTGGAGGTGGCTGGACTGGAGGTTGCGCTTTCCTATGCAAAATACATGCCCCTTAACGGTTTTACTCTGGGTCTCGTGTGTGGGACACCTACCCACCCCCCGCCCGTTCCCCCCGCAACTCTGTCTTCTCCTTTGACTGCACTCCTCCAGGGTCCTTATGTCTGTCCTTTAACTCTGGGTCCCCTCTGCTCTCCCCCACCAAGGCTGGGTCACCCCACTCCTAGGCCCCTTTCCATCAGGTTCCCTCTACAGCTTCAAAGAAATGCTGGCTTGTGGCCACAGGCGCTGGGGACTCTGCCCTTCAGAGTAACCTGCCTTCCCTGCTCAACGCTACCCATCCCCTTTTCCTGCACACTGCAGGGGACTCCATTCTTCTGACCTGTACCAGGCTCCTCCCCACTGCATGCGGAGAGAGGTGGGGCATTCTCACATCCTTTTTCCAGGGGTGGGGAAGATGGAGTGTGTGTGTGTGTGTGTGCGGGGGGTCCATCATCACAACCAGTTGGTGCCTGAGACTGAGGTGGCTGGTGAGCCCTTTAATGTCTGCTCTCCTCTCCGACAGAACTGGGAGCTTCACAAGTCCGCCTCCCTCCCCCAACTCCATGCTGCCCTGAGTCAGCTAGATTGCTGCAGCAGCAGCTCTAAAGCAGCTTCCAGCAGCTGCAGGGTGACCTTGACCAACACTTGCCCTCTCTGTTTTTCATGTCTATTTGGGTTGAAAGATGGAGGTGGACCAACTGAGCGTCTCACTTTGGGGAGCTCCATGATCCCCACGAAATTGTAAAACCTTGTGCCTTGTTCTTGGGGGAGGGTGCAGAGGTTTCAATGATTTCCAAATGGGTCTGGGATCCAGAGGGTAGGAATCCTCACTCATCAGGATGGTTTCTAAACCTTTGCCAACACTAGCAGGGAAAGCCAGGAAAGCTGGGATTTGGATGCATGGCTTTTCCCATTCCTTTTCCACTCCTCTGCAGCGGCAGAACTGTCTCCTCCCCCAACTCTGCAGCAAGGCTCCTCTCAGAGCAAATCCCTCAGTTCTCTTTGCCCTTCACACAGACAGACCAACCCAGGACTTCTGGTCTACCCAGCTGACTTCTCTTTTTCCTCTCCCACTCCCAACTCAGGCCCTGGGTGTCACTATCTCAGGATGTTCACTTCCAGGAGATGTAGACTAGGCTCTAGACCTCCACTGGCCCCAGAAGGTCTGGGAACCAGCAGCCCTTTGCTTGCAGGGGCCAAGTGTGGCTGCCACTGGCTTAGGGGTCCAGGGGCTCCGGTGCTAGAGAATGTGCAGCCAGGTGGAGGAAGGGAGAGAGGAGCTGGAACGCAAGCCCCAGGCTCTGCAGTGACCTTGCTCTCTGCACAGCAGAAACTTGCAAGAAAGGGGCTGTGGCTACATGGTAGCTCTCAGCACTCTCATGCCTTCAAAGGTCAAAGGCTCATCAACTTGTTCAGCCACAAGTTCATAGTTAACCTCTGAGCCACACGTTTAGAGTTAAGCCAGGTTTCACATCTGAACACCAGCTTTCCCATTTCTTGCTGGGGAACTGAACCAGGCATTAGAACCAGAAATGGGGTCTTCCTCTGCCCTGAAGGGTTTTGGATCCTGAGTTGGGGGAGACAGAGTCTGATCTTGGGAGCCAGCTAGACACTAGATTTGAATCCTAGCTCTGCCATTCACTATCTGAGTGACTTTTGGGCAGTAGTCATTTGCCTATCATACAGGATAGGGTGAGTTAAGCATCCAAGATGACATCCTGCACCCAGTAGGTCCTCAACCCACGTGTGTCACCTTCTGGATCTGGGTCTTGGAACCCATATCCAGGTGTGTCTAACCTTGTTCCCTGTTCCCTTTTTGTCCAGTGAGGCTTGACCGACTATCAGAGGCAGCCAAGGTGAACACAGACGCCATGCGCTCAGCACAGGAGGAGATAACTGAGTACCGGCGCCAGCTTCAGGCCAGAACCACAGAGCTGGAGGCGCTCAAAGGCACCAAGGATTCGTTGGAGAGGCAGCGCTCTGAGCTGGAGGAACGTCATCAGGCTGACATTGCATCCTATCAGGTGGGCAGTGGTGGGGCAGAGAGCCAAACTGCCTCACCTGGTTGGGTGACTGGACAAATCACTGCCCTTCTCTGAGCAGGGTTGTGGTGGTCAAGGCTATGGGCCTTTGAGTCAGACATACCAGGGGTACCAATATGTCTTTCTAGCTGTGTGACCCCAGGAAATTCACCTGCCTTTCTGAATCTGAATTCCTTCAATGAAAAAGAAAAAAAAATGCCTGCTTTGTAGAGCTGTGAAGGTTAAAGAAATAGAAAGACTTTTAAAGAGATGAGTGTAAATGTTCTCAGCAGGGTTTGGTCACAGTGGGCATTCAGTAAACAATAACCAGTGTCTGTGAGTGTGGGTAGCCTGGGAAAGGCCTTGACAGATTCCCCATTAAAGACAACTGGCAAAAGAAAACATCACTTTTTTTTTTATTAAAGATTTTACTGGGGAATTGGGGAAGGGAACAGTGTTGGGGAATTGGGGAAGGGGAACATTGTGTTCTTCCAGGACCCATCAGCTCCAAGTCCAGTCGCCACCTTCAATCTAGTTGCGGGGGTGCGCAGCCCACCATCCCATACAGGAGTCGAACGGGCAACCTTGTAAAGAGCACGCACTCTCACCAGCTGAGCCATCCGGCTGCCTGTTGGCAGCTCAGTGGCAGCTCAGCTCTGGTGCAGCTCACTGGCCCATGTGGGAATTGAACCGGTGACCCTGTTGTTCAGAGCTTGTGCTCTTAACCAACTGCGCCACCTGGCTGGCCCGAAAACATCACTTTTAAAGAACCTATGCAAATAATATGTGGTGATGGCAGAAAAATTAGCAAACGGAGAAAGCAAAAAGGAGGCAATAAAAATCAGCCATAATAGGGGCCGGCCAAATGGCTCAGTTGGTTAAGAGTTGGCTTAAGAGCGCGAGCTCTGAGCAACAAGACTGCCAGTTTGGTTCCCACATGGGCCATTGACGCGCCTGAGCTGAGCTGTTGCTGAGCTGCCAACAGGTGGTCAGATGGCTCAGCTGGTGTAACAAGATTGCCTATTCAATGGAGGGCTACACCCACCCGCAACTACGACTGAACTCGGTACCTTGAGCTGGGCTGCTGCCCGGATGACTCAGTGGATAGAGCGTGTGCTCTTAACAACAAGGCAGCTGGTTTGACTCCCACATGGGATGGTGGCTATGCCCATCTGCAACTAAGATTGAACACAGCACCTTGAGCTTAGAGGCCACGAGCTGCCACTGGGCAGCCAGATGGCAACTGGCGCCCGCCACAATGAAGACTGAAGAACAACAACTTGGCTGGTCCCCTTCCCCAATTTCCCAACACTGTTCCCCTCCTTCAATCCCCCAATAAAAATCTTTAAAAAACCCCAAAACAGCAGCCATAATGGTTTACTTTAAGCAGTGGATAAATGGGCCTGAGAACAGGGGAGAAACTTCAAATCATATTTACATTCTGTGTTTCTGCATATTGTTTCAATTGTCAATAACAGATGCTTCTGGAGCCCTTACTGTGTGGCAGGCACTTTGGAGAATTGGGGAACCAACAGGGAGCCAAAGCAGACAAGGCTCTTCCCACTGAGCATTTAATAAGCTTAAGAGATCTGTATAAATTCACCCATCATTCCACTGACCAGTGATAACTATTGTTGGTGTCTAGTATTTTTCATTCCAGACCA